GTGTGTGCATGTGCATGTGTGTGTGTGTGTGTGTGTACCGTATGCACAAGCACTGGGCCTTTCTAGTTACATACAAATCAAGACTTTTGGTCACTAGAGATGGAGGTAATTGAATATGTTGACTGTTCTGCAAAGCTCCTTTGTCCCCGGGAACAGAAAAAAATGTGAACTTATCCCAAGAGGGAGAAATCCATATGCCACCCGGGGAAATGTCCCTCACATCCATCAAACCAAGCAGGAGACTGGCAGAAGGCTCCATCAAGGCGAGGCAGGTCTGCAGTGAGTTCGCACCCCGCGGAGAGGACCGGGCTCCCAGAGGGGACTGGGCGTCCTTTCTCAGCTTCCAGGGAAGGCGCTGAGATGCCCAGCATTTCAAGCCCAATTCTCAACTGCAGGGCCATTAATCAAGACATTAAAACAATTAAGCGATTCTGCTGTGAGACTCCGCCAATCACAAGGCAAACGCCAGGTGCCAGGGGAGCAGCAGAGGCCATTTCTCAGCTCGTGGATGTCTTCGCGTGGGAGGGTGGCGGGAGGCACCGAGGGAGCGGGTGGCTGCCGCGTCTGTCTTGATGGATTACAACGTTCAAGAAGGAACCTTTCCCTCCCCCTCCTCACACCTGGCTTACAGGAGAGCCTGCCTGAAGACAACACGGCATTGGGCAGCACTCTGTTTTACGAAACACTTCCACGTGTACCATCCCTTCCATTCTTCATTCCCAGAGATCAAGTGAGAGAGGCCTGTGCCCCCTCACGAGGCTCAGGGACCTGAAGCCCGTAGGATGCATGTGGCCCACCGAGCCCTTCTGGGGGCTCAGCAAGAGGAGGTCAGATCAGACAGCCCTGAGCTGAGCCCCCAGACTCTCGCAGCCTCTCTGAGACGTGGGTTTCCACATCTGTGAAATGGGCCCAAGCCCTCTCCCCCCTGGGTTGCACAGCTATGGTGCCGAGAAAGGAGCATGGGATTTGGGGCAGGGGCCTCCCTAGGAGTCCAGGCTCAGCCACAAGGCCTTGCACACTAGTCCCCAAACGTGAAGAGACGGCGATGAGAATCCCCTATCCGTTGCTGGGCTGTGGGGGACTGGATGAGAAGGGGCTGTGAAAGTGCTTTGTAAACTGTGCTGTATTGAACTGATGTCAAATTTGGTGGGAAGGGAGCTGGTTCTAGAAAAGGCACAGAGAGCCATTCTGAGTGTCTGGGCTCCTCCCCAGCGGGTCCCACCACCCCACTGGCAGTACTCACGTGGGGATCATCTGATCTGACCCACCCCACCCTGTGCAATCGCAAGCTGCGGAGCAGGAGAGACAGCTGACACGGACTACCCAGGGGCCGGCATGAGCCCTGCACCTGCCTGGCTCTGAAAGAACTTACTGCTTGGTGGGAGCAATGCTGGGATGCCACAGGGCAGGTGTGATAAGAATGAAGGAACTTCCCAGGTTCCCACAGGTACAGGAGGGTGTGGTTCATTCTGTTTAGGGGATTTGCACAGGGGACATTTGAGCTTGACCTTGAAAGAGAAATGTTTCCATGGACAGAGGGAGAGGGGACAGCAAATGCAAGGACAGGAGAGCACGGAGTGGGCCTGCACCCTGTGGCCTTCCCATCGTGGTAAGAACCAGAATGTTCCCTTCCCACATGGTGAAAATAGACACAAAGACAAAAAACAGTAAGATACTTAGGAATAAACCTAACCAAGGAGGTAAAAGAACTGTACTCGAAAAACTACAGGATGTTGAAAAAGAGATTGAGGAAGATTTAAACAAGTGGAAGAATATACAGTATTCGTGGATTGGTAGAATCAATATCATTAAAATGTCCATACTACCCAAAGCAATCTATAGATTCAATGCAATCCCCATTAAAATACCAACGGCAAATTCCACAGACATAGAACAAACTACCCAAAAATTTATATGGAATCAAAAAGACCCCGAATAGCTGCAGCAATCTTGAGAAAGAACAAAGTTGGAGGGATCACAATACCAGATATCAAGTTATACTACAAAGCCACTGTACTAAAAACCTGGTACTGGCACAAGAACAGGCATATAGATTAATGGAACAGAACAGAGAACCCAGAAATTCACCCAAGTCTTATGCTCAATTAATATTTGACAAAGGAGGCAAGAGCATACAATGTAATCAAGACAGTCTCTTTAATAAATGGTGTTGGGAAAATTGGACAGATACATGCAAAAAAAATAAAACTAGACCACCAACTTACACCATACACAATAATAAAATCAAAATGGATAAGACTTAAATGTAAGACATGAAACCATAAAAATATTAGAAGAAACCATAGGCAGCAAAATCTCAGACAGCTATTGCAGCAATATGTTTACGGATACATCTTCTAGGGCAGCGGTCCTTAACCTGTGGGTCATGACCCCTTTGGCGGTCGAATGACCCTTTCACAGGGGTCGCCTAAGACCATCCTGAATATCAGATATTTACATTACAATTCATAACAGTAGCAACATTACAGTCATGAAGTAGCAACAAAAATAATTTTATGGCTGGGTCACAACATGAGGAACTGTATTTAAAGGGCCAGAAGGTTGAGAACCACTGTTCTAGGGCAAAGGAAACCAAGGAGAAAATAAACGGGACTACATGAAAATAAAAAGCTTCTGCACAGCAAAACAAAACCATCAACAAAATAACAAGAGAGCCCAATATTTGCCAATGATACACCCAGTAAGGGGTTAATCTCCAAAATATATAGGGAACTCGTACAACTTAACAAAAGGAAGACAAACAATCCAATTAAAAAATGGGCAAAGGACCTAAATAGACACTTTTTGAAAGAGGACATACAGAAGGTCAAGAGACATATGAAAAAATGTTCAGTCACTAATCATCAGAGAGATGCAGACCAAAATGACAATATCACCCCACACCTGTCAGAATGGCTATCAACAAATCAACAAACTGCAAGTGTTGGCGAGGTTGTGGAAAAAGGGAACCCCTGCCCTAACCGGTTTGGCTCAGTGGATAGAGCATCAGCCTGCGGACTGAAAGGTCCCAGGTTCGATTACGGTCAAGGGCATGCACCTTGGTTTCGGGCAACATCCCCAGTACGGGGTGTGCAGGAGGCAGCTGATCGATGTTTCTCTCTCATGGATGTTTCTAACTCTCTATCCCTCTCCCTTCCTCTCTGTAAAAATCAATAAAATATATATTTTTTTTAAAAAAGGAAAAGAAAAAGGGAACCCTAGTTTACTGCTGGTGGGAATGCAGACTGTATGGAAAACGGTATGGACTTTCTTCAAAAAAATTAAAATTGGAACTGCCATTTGACCCAGTGATTCCACTTCTAGGAAAATATCGTAAGAAACCCAAAACACTCATCAGAAAGAATATATGCACTCCTATGTTCACAGCAGCGCTATTTACAATCGCCAAGATTTGGAAACAGCCTAAGTGCCCATCAGCAGATGAGTGAATAAAAAAACTGGGGTACCTTTACACAATGAATACGCAGCAATAAAAAAAGAAAAAACCTCTTACCATTTGCAACAGCATGGATGAACTTGGAGTATTATGCTGAACAAAATAAGCCAGTCAGAGAAAGATAAGTATCACATGATCTCACTTATATGTGGAATCTAATGAACCAAATAAACTGAGGATCAAAAATAGACCCAGAGACATAGAAGCATGAATAGACTGTTGAACCTCAGAGGGAAGGCAGGTGGGTGAGAAGAGATCAACCAATAAACTTGTATGCTATATGCATAACCCGTGGACACAGACAATGGGGTGATGAGGACCTGGGGGGGGGGCGGGGGGCAGAAGGGAGAGGGCTAGAAGAGATTAATGGGGAAAAAGAAGTACCTATGTAATACTTCCAACAATAAAGATTAAAATAAAATAAAAAAAACAGATACAAAGAGCAGTGGGAGCACGGGGTCATGGGCAGGGCGCCTGAGGTGTGGATCTAGGGTGTTTCAGGAAGAAAGGGATTAGATTATAAGGGGCCTTGAGTGTGGCGTCAAGGTCTGGGGCTTCATCGGGGAAGGGATGAGGGTTGGTTGGAGTAGGGGTTCCTGCGGTCAGCCTGTGGTTCTCTGAGTTCCTTCCATCTGAGAGGAATGGAGGATGGATTGAGAGGCAGGAGAGAGATGAGGAGGTCTGAGCTAGGGAGAGTGGACAGAGCCTCAGGGAGACACAGGGGAAGGAGGCATGTTTAGAAGATGGAGGTGCTGTCTCCAGAGGCCCTGGTAACAGCTGCACTGGACCCAACGCGCCTTTACAAGCACCTTCTGCTGCCCTGTTCTGGCCAAGCCGTGGTGCCATGGTGACATCTCCCATGCCCAGTGATGCACGCACCCCAAACAAGGCAGGTGAGCCCCTGCTGGAGGCTGCCCTCCAGGGACTCAGCCAGGGGAACAGTGAGGGCCGGTGGCTGGACAGCCTGGGGGAATCAGCCGGAGGGAGTGGGGAGAGGAGGCCGGTGGAGGCGAGGGCCTTCTTGGGGTGGGCTTATCCCACAGGCAAGCACAGGGCTGGGCTCTGGCCTGGGCTCCGGGTCCAGACTCTCTGCTAGGAGGAAGGAAACGTCTGCTTTGGCTATCGCTTCAGTCACACCCTGCAAAACTGGCGGCCAGTTACCAGAAGGGTGAACACGGTGGGGCTTCCGTTAGACACCAAAGAGGTGGGACAGTCTCCCTTCACTCTGGAGATGGAGCGGCCTCTGATCGGGAAAACAGGGCCCGTCTGTCAGGCCTCCTGTAAACCAGCAGCCTCATTTCCCTAACACTCTGCGGGGTGTGTGTGTGTGTGTTGGGGGGGGCGGGGGGCGTGCAGGGCTTACTCTGCTGTCTGCAGGGATGGGACTCCTTCTAGACCAGCCGTGGGCAAACTACGGCCCGCGGGCTGGATCCGGCCCGTTTGAAATGAATAAAACTAAAAAAAAAAAAAGACCGTACCCTTTTATGTAATGATGTTTACTTTGAATTTATATTAGTTCACACAAACACTCCATCCATGCTTTTGTTCCGGCCCTCCGGTCCATATTAAGAACCCATTGTGGCCCTCGAGTCAAAAAGCTTGCCCACCCCTGTTCTAGACCCTGACCCTGGCGGAGCAGCCTGCCTCCAGGTGGGAAGGGAGTGGCCTTGGCTCAGCCCTGTGCTCTGAGGAGCAGGAGGGAGGAGGCCGCAGGACAGGGTGTTGCCTGGGAGCCATATGCAGGGGAAGCAGGTTTTATTGAGAGAATGGGCTGGCTGGAAGGAGGGTCCAGCAAGGATTCAGGTGGGCCCCTGCTGTAAAGTAACTGGCTAAGAGTGGGCAGGGTCTTGATTAACAGCCTTCTCTTTGGGTTTGGAAACCTTCCTGGGAGACTGAGTGCAAGTTGCCCGTGACTGTGCACGGCTCTGTGTGTGCTGCCTCAACGGCTCCAGTGGGCCTGAGTGAAGGGGACTCAGGAGACAGGGAGGGGGGTGGGAGGGAGAAGACAGGACGGCAGGGGAGGAGGACAGATGTGCTGGTCCGGGGCACACTCCTGCCCACAGGACCCTCCTTGCCCTTCCTTTGCGAGCATTTCATGAGCCTCCTGTGTGCCAGGCACTGTGCCGATGCCCTCAGACCTGGCATCCTCCTGACTCGGAGTGTGATATCAACTCTTCCCAGGGCTGCCAGGACGCATTAAAGGGCCACGCTAACCCAAATCCAACAACGCTGTGGGGAGCGTGACTCTGCAAGGGCAGCCTCCGTCCACCTGTTGGTTGGCCCTGGGCCTGCACTTGCCCGCAGCCATACCCACAATGCCCCTGTGGCTGCCTGTGAGGCTTCCCCTCTGTGACACAGGTGGAGACAAGAGGGGAGCCTACTCTTATGCAAGGAGCTCCCCTTTTCCTCCCACCACCTCTGGCAGCTGGGTCTGGCCTCATGTTCCTCCTCATCCTAACCCTCACCAGGTCTTGTCTCCACCCCTCAGGAGCCTCCTCCTCACCCAGGATGCCCAGCACACAGGAGCCCTGGGCAGTGCTGGCCACACAGAGAGCACCCCAAATGGGGAGGGCTTCAGTCAGAGGCCATACAACCATGGGACTCCTACCTTGGGGTCAAGGTCAAACAAAATCAGGCAAAATGACCCCGGTGGCTCCTGCCAGCTTCAAGACTTGAGAAGCCGTAGTTAGTGACTTCTTAGTTAATTATTTCTTAATTAATAACAAACCGAACACTGCAGCAGTAGGCAAGCTAATGAAATAAACGAGGCTAATCTGTTAACTACACCCAAGTAGCACATGATCGGAGGGGAGTCGCGGGCATTTCCACTCCATCCCAGAGCAGAGACAGGAAGTAGGCATGATGCTCCCGGGCTTCAGCCAGCGCTCCCGCTGGGCCCCGCAGACCCAGGACTCGGCTGCCTCACGTCCTTTCCTCACCACAGCGCAGCCTGGGCTGTTGGTTCCCCAAACACAACGGTTTCACCCCCACTGTCGCTTCCCATGAGCTCAGAATAGGAGATGCCATCTGTCACCTTTGGGATGTCATATGTCCACTGTGACTTGCAAACAGGTTTACCACCACGAGGCGCTGGGAGGAAGGCGGGCGTGAGTCAGTCGGCCTCCCGAAGCGCAGGACCCACAGCTCGCAGAGTCCCGGCAGGAATCCCAGCAGCCGGCGTTTCTCCGCGTGGGAAGCCCAGGGCCTCTCTCCAGCCCCGAAGGGCTTGCTTGTTCCGGGAGGACAGAGTGGCCCTCAGGACAGAGCGCGTGTGGAATGGGAGAGCTTGCCTGTGCCGGAGGGGAGGTGGCCCTCCACCAGCGGGGCAGCCGGGGTGGCTTCCTGGGTCATGCCGCCGTGAGGGGGCCGGCTCCCAAACCTGCCACTCCGGCCACACACCAGCCGCTTTTCATCCAGCAGGGACAGGTGGTATTCACACAGGTCGATCAGCGAGGCCACCTGCTGGTGCAGGGGCAGCATCTTGAACTTCCTCTGAGCCAGGTAAAAGAAAGCCTCTACGAAGGCCTGCAGGCACATCCCTGTGGGGAAGAGACCAGTGTCAGCAGGTGTACGACAGCTGCCCCGACTCCAGTCACTAGCACTTCCCACCAGAGTTCCCATTCTGGAAACGAAACAGGGCTCAATCACAGGCTCCCACCCACCACACGCCCAGCTGGGCATATACAACCATTGGCAGATTTGATCCTTTAAGCAACCCTATGCAGTAGGTTTAATTAGCCCCATTTTACAGATGAGAAAACGAAGTTTCAGAGAGGTGGGGAGACCTGGGCCAAGTCCTCTGGGTAGGAAGTGGTGGAGTTGGGATTTAAGCCTAGTCCAAAGCTGTAGCCCTCTGCACCACCAAAAAATGTTCCTGTTAAAAGCCAGGCCCTGACTTTGATTCCACCGGACGGGAGACAGTTACTCAGGTCAGCCCAATCAGATGGCAATGTTTCACATCTGGATAGAGGTGCTGGCTTTGTGGGTGTGTGTATTTGTCGAAAGTCATCAACTTGGACCTTAAGATGTGTGCATTTGGCTGTATGTAAATTTTACCTCAAAAAGTAAAATACAACTGACCCCTTCTCTCTACCCAAAACTATATTCTGCATCATATTAATAGTAGTCCCCTCTGTGCTCCTGGAATGTCCTTTCTTACTTCTTGGGATCTGAGCTCAAAATCACTTGCTCAGAGACCTTCCCTGGCTCCCAGCTTAGACCCGGCCCACACAGCTGCCTGCACTTCCCTTTGGAGCACACACCACGGCTTGGGCAGTGCTCGTCTGTGTGGCTCTTTGACACTCTGCCTTCCTTGCTGGCTGTGAGCCCCAGCTCACCACTGCACCTCCAGTCCCAGGCACCCAAAGGCGCTCCATATCGTCATGCTGAATGAATGAGCGAGTTGGTTCTAGGCACTTTACAGACATTATCACTAATCCTTACAATGCCTTTTCGAGATCAGTATTATGCTCCCCTTTACAGACGAGGAAACTGACTCAGAAAGGTTGAGTAACTTCCTTAAGGTTACACAGCACAGAACAGTGGCCTGGAAATTCAAATTCTGACTCCCAATTCGTTTAACTAAGTTGTGCTGCCTGAAGGGTTCTGAGTCTTCCGAATGTCCAAGTGAAAATGAACCCATGACCCAAATTCATGGGATTCCCTGGGCTCCTGGGGGAAGGTGACACGAGGCTGGACCGAATCTGATCTGAGGTGGTGCCCAAGACCCTGCAGTGTTTGAGATGAGGCTGGCGCTGCCTCTGCTGGCATACACCTTCCCAGTGGCCTTGCTTCTGGCTCAGAGGCATTATTCACCTGCTTCTGCCACCACAGGTGGAGCCAGGTCACAGATGGAGTTTGTAAATACTGGGTTCCATGTGGACCCTGGGATCTGAGAGCTCTTTTCGCCTTGGGAACCTGCGCTGAGCAGTTGTTCTGTCTCTTTCCGAGTCCACAAGGCTCCTTTGCTCGGCTTCTTTCGACTCCCGATGTGCTGCACGCCCCCTGCTCTGCTTGGCCCTGACAGGAGGAGTTGACAATGAGAACAATAACCCGGTGTAAAAGCCTGTAATGTACACAGAGGGCTGGTGGGACAGAGGCAGGGAATCCAGAGGCAGACGCTTCCTAATCACCGAGTCTGGGGCCAGGGCTCTCCTAGGAAGTGTGTGCCTGCCTGCGCGTGTGTGTGCCTGCCTGCGCGTGTGTCACTGCAGGCGGGAGAGTCAGGCGCATGCGGAGTGGAAGAGGTCGGGTCCAGAGCCAGAGAAGCCCAGTGCCGCCCCAGCCCCCAACTTCCCTGCTTGTGGTCTAAACAGCACTCCCCAAAGTGTGGTCTGCAGCCTGGTGCCACGTCCAGGAACTGCGAGTCCCGGCCCTGACAAGATAAGGAGCGCGGGCCAGAATGTAAATCCCCTTCTCATCCATCACCTTGTTTAGTTCAGCTGGCAGCATCCTGAGGCAAGTTTCCCAACAAAGGCAGCAGCACGTGTTGGCATGCTGGCTCAGCCTCTTGTTCGGGGCTGTGAGGAGCAGTTCGTGGACGGCGCCTGTGAGCAGCTCGGGTCCACACAGCCCTCCCGGCTTCAACATGCGTGCCGGGCGCCACAATCCTGTCAAACGCAGATCTGAGGTGGCGCCCAAGACCCTGCATTCCTGACAAGCTCCCATGATGCCCGGCTGCTGGCCCTTGGAGCACGCTCTGAGCAGCAAGAGCTGAGCGCCTGCTACTCAGCAAATATTTGTTTCCTCCCCTTAATTGAAGGCAGACAGTGATTAGAGCTATAATGCACAGAAAAAATACACCGAGGACCTTTCCCAGGGAAAAATGCATGGCTAAATGATTTGGAAGAAATTCTTAAACGAGAAGTAGGATTTAATGTTATACTAGGTTTGCTTGTCTATATTTTCTGATTTTCTGTAGTAAACACATATGCAATTCTAAAATATGCCATGGAAAACTCTAGAGTTTGGAAAGAGGGGGTGCAAGGGCCGCTGCTTTTAATTATGAGCCCTTTGCTACTATTTAAATTAGAAGTTATGCACTTGTATTACTTTGAAAAAAATACAATGTAAGCTTTCTGCATGTATGTCCTACTTTGACATCTATTAACTAATATATATGTGGAAAACAGACGAGGAAGTAAAGGGGAATGGGATATTACTGAAGTCGGAGGTCAGGTGCCGGCAGAGTTCGGTTCTGGTGGGGTCTCTTCCTGGCCTGCAGTCGGCCGCCTCTCACTGTGTCCTCAATGGCAGAGAGTGAGCCAGCTCTCTGGTCTCTCTTCTTATATGGACACAGTCCCCTCAGATCAGAGCCCCGGCCTTATGACCTCATTTCACCTTCATTACTTCCTTAGAGACCGGTCTCCAAATACAGTCACACTGGGGTTAGGGTTTCAACATATGGACTTGGCAGGGACACAGTCAAGCCCACAGCACCCCAGCATGCTCAGCTCTGTTGAGGTGCAACCCAGCTGGGGACACTCTCCTACCACTGGCCAAGTCTCTAAAATGACCTGAGCCATTCAGCAGAAATATAAGTAATCCTACCCTCTTCCCTGCTCCCCTCTCCCCCTGAAGACCCCTCGCAGCTCTGATCAGAGTTGGAAGCATGTCTTTGGTAACATTGCTTTAGTGACCCGTTACAGTAAAAGTAATGAAAGGAAACAATAACAGTGAATATTTATTGAGCCCTCATTAAGTGCACGGCCCTGGGCTAAGTGTGGTTATTTAACTTAATTCCACAGAAACCTTATGAAGCAGGTAGGTGGAAGCATCAAACTCAAACCCGTTTCACATTAGAGGTTCGTCAAAGTCACACATAGCTGATAGGCGGCAGACCCAAGGACCGCTATCTTGCCCTCTTTACTCCACGGCTGCGAGGAGTGTTAATTCCAGTTGCGGAGAAGAAAGAGACACCCTCCTTGCAGCGCGTGAGGGATGGCCTCCTCTGTGGGCTGCCAGCAGCAAGGCGCAGTCAGGCCTGCCGGGCTCTGCACAAGGCTGTCCCCACCTGCCTCCCACGCCCCAAGATAAGCTGCTGAGTATTTTTTTGAAACTCCATTTGGGCTGACGGATGTCGCTGGAGCAAGCGGCCTTTGAAACGTTCCAGTTGTAGCCGTACGCACGTCTCTCACCCGAGACGGCCACTTGGATATTGGGATGCGGCCCCTGACAGAAGATGGCCTCATTCTGTCAATCCGGCGGGGGAGGGCGGGGGAGGGCGGGCCCACAGGCTCCTCTGGCTCCAGTCCTCCCCTCTCCACTCCCAGGGAGGGGTCCCGCACCCAGCTTAGTGACAGCCCTGGTGGCTGCTCTCTGATAATCCCATCGTCTATTTTGGGGCTTAAAGATGGAAACAAGAATAATACCTACAAGTGCACAGCACTTGCCAATTTATAAAGAATATCCATTTCCTTATCTGGCCCTCAGAGCAATGCTTGGAAGACGATGTTACTGCAAGTGCTCCCCATTTACAGTTGAGGAACACAGACCCAGACAGGCAAGCGGCTTGTCACGGCCCCCTAAGTGGGCGAGGCAGCACTTACACCCACATCCATCTGACTCCCAGGCCCAGCCATTTGCCTACATCTGACATCCACGAATTATCATATAGTTCACAGGGCACATTTGCATATGTGAGATAATTAAATCATTGTCGGCTGCCGGAGATACTACCCCAGACTGACTAGGAGAGGTTTCTTTTCCTCTCGAACACACTAAGCTCCTTGCTAGGGCTTCTGTTTCACGGCGCTGGTGTGCTGGGCTCGGGCAGCTCTTTCCAGTCCCTTCTCTCTCCCAGCCTTAAATCTCTTTCCCATTCCTCACCCAGAATAGACGTTTCTGTCTCACAGTGTGAGCCTAAATGTGTAAATACACAGCTTTCCATTTGGAAGCGTCGGTAGGAAATAAAGCTGAGCGATCTTGACTAGAATTAGCTCAGTGATTCCTCTCCGTGCGGTGGAATGTTCCCCACAAGAGCGATCTGCGAAGGCGGCGTGACTCCGGGTGGTTAATCACCAGCCTCCCAGTCCGCTCGCCACTCCTGGGCACCCCCAGCCTGGCTCCTGGGCGGCTGCGGGGGGTGTCTCGAGGAACTGCATGGGGACAGCCAACCTGGGCATGCCCTGTGAGGTGGCATTCAGGTCTGTGGAACAGTGACTGGCAGTCTGACGGGCTGGGCTGGATCCCAACTCTGCTACTTACTAGCTGTCTAGTCTCTAGCGAGTCCTTTCACCTCTCAAGGTCTCTGTTTCTTTGTCTGTAAAGTGGGGACTGTACTGCCTGCCCCTTTTACAAGGCACTGCCCAGAATAGCCCAATACATGCTTTAAAATAGCAGTGGCACCACCGCCCGTCGCCCCCACTCTGCACCCTCCCCTCACAGCGACTGCCCGCAGTGCTCTCAGGACACCAGTTTACCCTTCGATGCAGGGAGCTGGCTGCTTGTCTCCACACGTGACTGTGGCGAAGCCAGGGGGCCTTTGCCTCCCTCTCCAGCTCTCACAGAGCGGGCTCTCAGCAAGTGTCCACAGGATGAA